GGGAGGCAAGGGCAGCCGTGGAACCAGCACAATGAGAAGAACCCAGAAGAGACTGTCCTGGGATGCTGATTTTCTGCCATGGTGTCACTGGAGCAGTTTGCAATTGGAGAACAAAGACCTGAAGGAAAGAAGCACTGGCACATGGGACTGGCAGGGATCTGGGTAGGAGGGGTTGGGGGAGAACAAGGACATGATTCATTTTAAATTCCATAACACAACTAAAAAATGGCTGAGGTCATTGAGGAGGAGCACCCCGTTTCTCCTTCACCCAGACAGTTCCTAACAGGTGGAGGAGAAATGGGCTGTTCCTCCTGCAGAGCCACCTCCTCCATACTCTGAACCTCCCGCATCTGCACCAACTGACTGACACACAGTGCCAGGAAGAACAGAGATTTGCTCCCAGGAAGGAAATGTTTAAACTCGGGGATTTCTTCAAGAGCAGCCCTGGTTCAGTAGCCTGTCTGTCTGTCCTGCTGCAGGGAACATCCCATGCCCCAGGGCTGAGCCCTGGTGGGAAGGGTCCTGCTCTCTGTGCAGTTTGGTCCTGCCTAGAGGCCATGTCCCACAGAGCAGCACCAGCTCTTCAGGTAATTTCAGTGATCTCAAAAACTCAACCCCATCCAAGGCTGGCATTAGAAATCATTGCAAGAAACAGCTGCAACAAATGCTGCAGATTTTTTCTCCTTTGCTCCATAGGAACCCCTGGCTCCTTTCAATGTCCCACATGGCAAACACTCCTGCTTTTGCCACTGACCACAAATCCACAGAGGAGACTGCTGCTTTTCTTCAGCAGAAGGGAAATTCCCTTCCAGCTGGTGGGAATGGCTCTGTGCAGGCAGCAGGGACTCAGGATGAGGGAGCTCTGAGTTTACTGGGGCTGTGTCTCCCCTGTGACCTGGCCCAGAGCAGCATCCAGCCTGACCCTGGGGCTGCTTCAGCCTTTAGCTGGAAATGGGGCTGAATTCCCCTTTTGGGGCCCAAAGGAGCAATAATGCTCACAGCAGCATCCTGGCAAGTGGGTGCTTCAAGCAGCATTTCCACAAGGACCAGGGAATCAGGTACCTGTAAAATGTTTTTCAAGTAACAGAGTAGGAATCCTCAAGCTTATTCCTGTAACTACAGAAAGCTGGTTTAAATCCTCAGGATGCTGAAATAGAAGCAGAAAATGAGCCAGAGCAGGGGGACTCTGAATTGCAGTCTCAATGGCGTCTTCCCATAGGAGCTGTGCAACAGGCACTGCCTCTGGCACAGCCACACAAGGAGGGAAGAAGAAACCAGCCCCTCCAAAGTGAAGGGTGACAGGATGAAAGGAACCCTGGTTTTGCATAATCCTTTAGGTTTGGGAGGACCCTGGTAAAACCACTGGGTCTGCCTAGAGAGGGACATGGCACCTGGTCAGCTCTCCTATGGTACAGACAGAGGACATGGCTGGACAGAGGGGGCATGACATGCTCCTGCTCTGCTCTCAAACATAAATCAAAATTTCAATCCTTCCAGATGCCTGATGGCCATTCCTGTCCATGTCTGCTCCAAAATCCACCCACAGTTCATTTACAGATATTTGCAGAAAGCTAAAAATGGATGAAACCAAAACCCCAAGGGATCCCAGGGCACTGAACAGCTGGTTTGCAACTGTCCTGCTCCACAGAGCTGGGACAGGGCTGAGCTGGGCTGGCTGTGGCCACACTGGAGCTGTGCAGGGGAGGAGCTGCCATCCCTCTGCCACTGCCTTCACCTTGGCCTCAAAACTGGGCACTCCCAGCTGGGAGGAGGTGCCAGGGGTTTGTGTTCCCTCTGCAAACTCAGGGCATGCAGAAGCACAGGTCACGGCTGCAGGAGAATTATGGAGCAGGGGGAAGCTGTTCCATGTAATCTGCAATAACCAGGTTATCTGTTAATTCATTCCCAGGCTTTGAACCTGAAATGACCATTGCTGTCTAGAGAGACCAAGAAAGGATCTTGGCTTATCTATGTTCCAGAGAGGTGCTGAACCCTAAAATTCACACCCTAAAATGAGATGTACTTTGACACTTCATCCATTTCCCCTTCATACAGCAGGGGCTGTGCATGGCTCTGTGCTCAGCAGAGCATCTGCAGAGCTGTTCCTGCTGCAGCCAGGATGTGCTGATCAGCATCCAGGGCACGTCTCTCACTGCAGAACCCCTTTGTTCCCCTCACCTTTGCTAACTGGAGCTGGTAGTTCAACCCAGCTGTGCTTCATAAGGATTAAATAAAGGAGGCCAAGGAAAGCAGAATAACCCAAGATTATCTTCACAGTGAAGTGTTTCCCTTGCAGGGAGCCCAGGCAGGTCCCACAGCCTTGCTGAGGATGTGCAGACTGTTTCCACACCAGTTCAGTGCTGCCAGGATGCCTGAGGGATATTGCTGGCCCCTGCCATATGGCAGGGTGCAGACAGACAGACAGACGCATTCATGGTTGGTTGGTTGGAAATCTGGAGGCAGGTTTGCACATTTCAGCCAATGTAAATACACCCCAGTGCATGCTACAATGTGTAAATACTATGGGCAAAGGATTACTGGGTTTTACTCTCCTGCACGTAATAAAAGTTTAATCCAATCCAGTGTTTGCAGGCAGGACTGGAACAGGTAAGTGAGATGCCTTAAGCTGCTTACTGGAGATGTCCACAACAGTCAAAGGAACAGAGAGAGAAGAGATCCTCGTCAGAAAATGACTTCTTGTCCTTTACAGAATGCTGCTGGGGACGACTCCTTTCAGGAATTAGCAGCAATGAATTCAGCAACCAAAGAATTTCTCCCTTTTCAGTAACAGAAAATACCAATTATCCAGTGCTGAGAGAACACTTGTGCTCAGTGAACAGTGACTGCACCAATGCAGGACCAGCACCTCCTATTCACATTGCTGACCTCCAAATTAAGGAGTTTGGACGACCTGGTGCTCTTGAACAGTTGTGTGGGTGTATGGATGGGGAAAACCACAAGGATGGGAGGAACTCCTCTGGCCACAAAACCCAACCAGTGACTCAGTTCAAGCAGCCTCTTCTGCTTTTAACAGGAAAAGACCCTCCAACACTTCCATCTATTTAAAAATAAACCACTGATTTCAGCTCCTCACAGGCCAACAAATGTGAATTACCCAAGAAATATCAGACCCTGCACCAGCCATGGGCTGCCACTGCAGACAAACCCACCAGGAAATCAACTCTTGCAGAGATGCTGGGGAAGGGCACCAGGAGGCAGCTCTGAGGGGGTCTGCTCTGCTGCCCAGCCCAGGCCCCCCAGAGCCTTCCCCAGGTTTCCCCAGCTGCAGGAAACCCTCAGGAGCTCCTGCCCTGCCAGGGGAAGGCACAGGCAGTGCCCTGTGCCTGCAGGAGCCCCTCTGGAAACCCCAGCCAGGCTCTGGGCAGGCACTGTGCAAACAGACCAGCCCTGCTCACAGGCTGAGGCAATTTAGGGCAGCAGCTAAAGCATACAGAAAGAAAAAGGAGTGGATTTCCTACAGCCTCTGTGCTTGAGGCACCAAACTGGAGAGGAACAGAATTTTCAGGATTTTCTGAAGCAGGGAGGGAAATCCAATGCTGCTCCCAGCAAGCAGAGGAGCCCCAGCTTTGCTTCAGGTTGACTCCACTGCTGCTCTTCACTTAACACATGGAGAGAAAAAGCAGGAGTAGAACTAATACTCATATTGCCCATATCTTGAATTAAAAATATATGGTAAATAAGTGTGTGTATACCCTACTCACTACATAGATGCCCCCACAAAGGTGTGTGCCCAGAGGATACACACATACCTTGTACATGTGTGTGAGGGCCCACACCATGTACAGGACACACCCTACACACAAACATGGTATTTACAGGTGTGCAATAGAAACACACTATGGATTTCTATGGAAACAACATGTGTGTGTGTGTGTATATATATATATATATATATACACACACTTGCTCAGTAGAAAGGAATTTGTAGTCAAATTCTAATTGGGTTGAGGGACAAAGACAAAATTCTATTTAATAACACAGCTTGGAAAGGTTGAGGCTGCTAAGAAAATAAAGGCCTTGGAGAAAGGAGGATGCATCAAGGCCATGCTCCCTTCCCCTGCCTACCCCTTCCAGCAGGGCTGGAAACACTTCTGCATTTTGCTGTTTGGTGAATTTTGTGCAAGGAGAGGAGAGAGCGCACAGGGAGGACCCTGCAGCAATGAGGCAATCCCTCATCAGAGCAGCCATGGCCAGGTGGAACTGCCCAGAGAGTGAGCAGGGATGCTGAGGGCAGCCCTGGCAGCTGCAGGTACTCCAGGCACCCAGCCAAGGGTGTCCACTGAGACATGTTCCTGCTTTATCCCCTCAGTACTGCAGCAAAATACCAGAGATACTCAGATTATCATAAGGAGAAAAAGACTTTCTTTAAAAATAGGAAAAGACTCTTCAACTTCTTCCCCACCCCAGAGGTTGGGTGCTGAGAGTGTGGGAGCTGTGGAGCAGCTTTAAAAGCCCTCCCCTATTTGGGTTCACTCAGCACTGGGGTGTCAATAGTGTGGTGGGATTATTATTACTATGAAAATATTGAACAAAGCCCCTCCTGCAGAGCAGGTCTGACATCCAGCACTGCTGTGCAAGCTTGCACTGATCCTGACTTCAGGCTGGTGCAGGGACAGATTCCACCAATGATGGCCACATTTGGAGTATCCCAGTTCCCACCAAAAAAATATCAAAGGGATACTGAAAGGAAAGCATAAAGTCGTCTGAAACAATTTTCTTGGATGTCAGGACAAAATAATAAAAGGAAATCAAAAGGTGAAGCCAAGGACTGTGGCAGCATCAGAGTCCCTCAATGGCATTTTACATCCTGTGAATTTTTCAGGCCAACTCTCCTATGCTGGGACATCAACCTTCCTTTGGAAGATTTGAAATACCAGAGCTTTCTACAGATTTCACAAACATAAGGCTGATTACCTTGGGAAAAAAATTTAAATTTCAGCCTCTAAAATAGTCTGAGTGCAATGTTAGAAAATTAAACCTTTTTTTTTTTTTTTTGCTTTCATTTAAGGCTCAGTAAAGTTGTTGCTTGTTTCAAGTTAATTCCTTCCTATCCATGCTAAGTCCTTTGGAAGCAGCACTGGCACATGCACAGCAACACTTGGTACTCTCTGATGCCAAAACTTCCCAAAGGCTGACAGAACCCAGAGCAGAAGGAAAACCTGTCCTGGTGACTCTGGCATGGCGGCACCATCCCTGCACACAGCAAAGGCTCAGAACCAACTCAGCTGGACAGAAACCTTGGCTGGCAGCTCAGCAGCTGCACAGCAACTCAACATCCCCTTCCCCAGCCGTGCTGCCCATCTGCCACCCAAGGAGAAACCCCCGACAACACCTGGGCTGAGAAGCCACCACTGCCAGCCCAGCTCAGTGCCCTCAGCACCGGGCAGAGCCACAGCAAACACCTCCAATGCCTTCAGCACTCTGTGACAGCCTGTGCCTGTGTCCTTGGCAGGAGACCAAAGCACCTTTCCAAACAAAACCCAGAGATGCACAGAGCCACATCTAGAATGAACCTTTAGTCCAGAAATCAGGAGTGGATATAAACATATCATGGGACAATTCTGAAAACCCACATAAGGAACAGCAGGACATCCAGTTTGGTAAAGCACCAAACGTGTGCCTCAGTGCTCCTCAGCAGGGATGCTTCAGCTCCAGTAGGGCCAAGGAAAGTCATCCTTGCTTTTTCCCATGGGTACTCTGACTCCTTGTCTAGATACCACAAAACATCCCACTGGTGAACAACCAGATTTGAAATTCAGAGTTTGAATCCAGCAGCATCAGAAACCAGAACTGCTTGGCCCTCCAGTACTGTGAATGCAGAACTAACCAAGCAGCTCTGTGTGTGTTTGCTTGTCCTACACACCAGTAAAACCATGCCCCTGGCATGATCCCAGGTGTTTGCTTTGCTTACTGCCTCCAGATGAGTGCAAACCCCTGGCTCACAGCTGGATATGGCACAGCCTCAGGGAAATCCTGCCAGGGGCTGTCTCTGTCTCTGGCTGGAAAGCCCTCAGGAAAACAGCAAGATCTGCAAATTCTTTATGTCAAGCCTGAAGTGGAAGAAGGTAAGAAATGCAAGAGAAGCTGGGGCTGGCAATCCCAGCAGCAAGATCCTCTGCAGGCAGCTCCTCCTCTCAGCAGCCCTTGGTGCATGGGCACAGTGGGGCAGAGGGCTGGCACCCACACCTGGGTCACACTTGTGTCCCAGCACTGCTCTCTGCTGTCCTGCACAGTGCTGGCAGTGGCCAGGGCACAGCCAGGACACAGGTGCCACTGTGGCCTTGGTGCCAGGCCCCTGCTGGCCCTCAGCTGTGGCACAAGCCAGAACAGAACACACTGCTGCTTCCCCATGGGAAAAACCCCATCATCTGTGCAGGACCAGATGCCAGCAGGTCTGAGGCATTTTCAGCACCACTCTGCTTCCCCAGGCAGCAGCAATTTCCACCTGTGGGATGAAAAACTGCAGGAGGGTCCCCACAGGACTCAGGCACCTCTGGCCCTGGCAGAGCTGTGGCTCTTGGCCAAGGGGGCCTGGATGTGCAAGAGCAGCTCCCCAGGGACCCTGGGCAATCCTTTATCTCCCCATGAGTGCACAGTGGATGGGAAAAGCCTGAGGGGACAGGAGAAAAGAGCCCTTCCTCCTCTTGCTGAGGAACAACAAGGGCTGGGGGAAGGCTCTGAAGTGGGGTAAGGGGACAACAGCAGTCCTGGAGACAGGGCAGGAAAATACATGGAGCAGTGACTGGAAAAACCTGACCCAAAGCAGCCAAGTTCCAATGCAGACCCAAGTCTGGGTGACACCACTGCCAGGAGCTGGCCAGAGCTGGGCTCCCCCTGCCCAGGCTTTCTCAGAGCAGCCAGGCTTTGACTGCAGGGAGAAAGAAAAAGGGGAAATGTCAAACAATTGGATATTTTCCTCTTTTCCAACACCAAATTGTTCTGTCAGGGGAAACAGAACCCTGTGCATCCTATCTCAACACAGGCAGTGATGGGCAGTCCTCAGAAGTCTGATGCAAGGAGACAAGCCAGTACTATGCCAGGTCTTTTCTGTTTAATTCCATATTTCACTGTGTTTCTGGTTTTCAGGGCTCTCTGAGGCAGCAGTCTGTCCATCTGCTCTTGGCCACCCCACTGCTCTCCGTGCTGGGTGTCCTTGGGTGTCCCCAGGCAGCTCCTTCCACACAGGGCACAGCCAGGGCTCACTTCACCTTGGAGCTGAACATCAGGAAACCATACAAACTCCCTTTCCTCCTGCCCCTCATTCATAAATTTAATAAAATAACAATAATAATAATAATAACAATAATAATAATAATAATAATTAAAACAAAGGCTTATTGGAGCTGTTTCTGCTCAACTTTCCACAGTCTCTTTTCATGTCACTCTCTGTAATCAGATTTTTCAAGAAATACTGTGAGAAAAAAAGAATAATAATAATAATAATTATTATTATTAGAATAATAAAAAGCATCTGGAACCAGCTCAGAAGATTTCTAATGCTTTTCAGCTTGACTGACTTGGAGTGCATTGACCACACCATTTATATTTTCTTCAGGTACCTGCAAGAAAACAAAAAGAAAGGTCATGTTCCAGCAAAAGGGGTGACAAGGCAAAGAGAGGCAGGAGACAAAGCCAGACCAGTCCCTGGGTTCCACACTGTTGTCTGCTATCACAAAAGTTTCACACCTTGTTGGTGTTTTCTTGTGGGCAGCTCCTCAGAGCACTGACTCTTTCTTCTTCACAAAGCAGCCAACTGACTCCAGTTCCCCCCTCACCCAGCCACCCCACTCTTTTATAACATCTTCCACTCACTGGTCACAGCTGTGGCCTGTTCAAGTCAGGCCTGCTCCTATCTTTGATAATTGGCCCAGCTGCAACTCCTTAGGGCTAAGATTACTTTCTACACTATCTTTATTTTCTTATATTCTATCCCCCTACAAGTCTCAAGGAGGCAGACACTTTGCTGGTTTTTGCTTACACCTGAAGTTCACTGAGAAAGGGCTCCATGCACAAGGACACCCCTGCTCAGCCATGGTACCCCCAGAGCAAACACTGTGAGACGCAAAGGTTTGCTGTTGTGTGGGGGATGCCACAGCCAATTATTTTGGGGTTTCTCTGATGTTGCACTGTGATGTCCTGGTTTGCCTCAGATACCCTGAAGACTCCTTCCCCAGGTGTGTCAGTCACCTCTCCTTTCCCCTCCCAGCCCTGTCTTGTCAGTCCTGGCATTCCAGAAGGGCACTGAGTGATTGGCAGATCCAAAGGATGCCCTCTACCCCTGGGGGGCACTGGCCATCCAGGTGTCCTGTGTCCCTTTGTCCCTCCCCTCCTGTCCCTGCTTGGTGGCTCCCTGCCCCTTCCCTGCCCCTCTCCCCGGGGTTCAAAGGAGCAGCAACCACGGGCTCAGGGAGTTCTGTTGGGGCTGGTGCTGCATTCAGAGGCCTGTGGGCCAGAATAAAGCTCTGCATCCAAACCCTCCATCAGAACCGACTCCTTTCCTTCAGCATCGCCTTAAAGCTTCTCCACAGAGGGAAACCTGAGGAGCAGCCCCTGTTATGGGGGGAAGCTCCATCCCAGCACCACCAGAGCTCCTGCAGGCCTGGCCTTGTACCCACGGGCCCAGTGCAGCACCCAGCCAGGCAAAAGTGTCTGTGGGTGAAACACCACACACCCATAGCCAAAAGTGTCTGTGGGGTGAAACACCACACACCCACAGCCAAAAGTGTCTGTGGGTGAAACACCACACACCCACAGCCAACAGTGTCTGTGGGGTGAAACACCTCAGTGCCACTGTTTGGTTCAGCAGCAGGGCTAGACGAGCTCAGGCACATCCTGTCCATCTATATTGGTATTATTCCAATACTCTCTGCTCTTCCTGTCCCCTCCTTTCCCTTCCCTTTGCTGGTGAAGCACTTGCAGCCAGGAGCTGACTCATGCCAGGTGCTGATGGATTTGTGTGGCTGCCTGAGGGCTCCATGAGGCTCTGGGGGCACCCTACAGGTTTGGGACCTGCAGGTGGGGATGGGAAGGCCATGGAGGGTGACAGGAGAGCACACCCATCAGAAGAGGAAGAGAGCTACCAGTCTGTTTGTGGTGCTTTCTTATCCAGCCTTGTGAGGAGATTTAACCATAGAAATCTGTATTATTAATGATGACTTTTCATGCTTACTGCAAGAAAAACAAAACCTCTTGTAACAGCAGATGCAAAATATCTCAGAGTGACTGTCACTGGTAGAGAAGAAGATCAAAAGTGAAGTTACATCTGGCAGAAGAAGTGTGTCTGAACTCTACATAAACTCCAAGAGGATTGAGGGAAAAATAAATTATCCCTAAGTTGCTGCAAAAAGCCAATATAATTCATATCAAGTAAATTGAAGAAGGAACTGTCTCCTCTACAAGGTATTTAAGGCCAAGACTACAATACCTGGATTCACTGGACCCTCTCAAGAGCTCAGACAGTGGAAATACAACTGGTTGTGTCTTTCTGTGAGGTTTTTAACAAAACTGAGGAAAAAGCCCATGAGAAATAACAAGAAAAACGTTCAATTTTCCAATAGGAAGATGGAATAACAGCAGTCAACTCTGATGCTGTGAGAACAAAAGTCATTTGGAAAGGAAGAAAATCATCTTAAAACAAGCATCCAGCAAACTCTTCTGGTTTAGATGGAAAACCCCAGGACACCTTCTCCATAGGGAACAGGATTTTGAGGCAGGACTCTCCACTGCCTCTCCTTCATAATTTTTCCCAGTACACTGAACACTGCAGTGCAAGGAGCTGTTTGACTTTTCCTCTACATAAGATAATGAGGAAAGACATAGTTGTAATTTTTTTTAACCACAGTGATGCTCAGTGGGTCTCTCTCTCTCTCTGATTCCTCAGCACTGGACAGTACCAGGAGGAAGCAGCTCTGGGCAGCTGCTTTGACCTGCACAGACCCATCTCCTCCAGGAAACACAGGGCTCCTTCACTGAGCCCCCTAACAGCACAGAAATTATATCAGTCACCCCACAAAGGTTTTGGCAGGGTTTTCTCCAGGACAGATGTGCAAACAGATTTGATTTGTAGGACCCATCCTAGTTTGCCATCAGTGGAGGAGTAGAGTTCTCCCTCTCCCTGCCCCCTGGAAATGACCCCTGTCCAAGGCACCTGGTGCTCTGTGCTCCCTTCTCAGGTGGAGTGCAGAACAAAGCACTGACCAGGAAGGGAGAACCAAAGCTCCAAATTACATCCCAGACACAGCTCCAGCCTCTTGAGAAGCAAAATGCTGGTGAAAGAGAGCAAGACACCAGTGGACATGAGGCAGCAAGAGCAGAGTACCTGGAAAGGCAACTCTTCCTCCTTGCCCTCTCTAGAGGGAGCTGATAACCATGATTCTGTCCAGGCTGGCCCTGCATCACCAGACCAGATGGGGACACACCAGAGACCTGGAGGTTCCCATCTCAACATTGTCTCCCAAAGGGATTTTGTCTCTAGCACAAGTCCTGATTACCAGGGCAAACATCTACAGCTACAGCATGGCAGGAAGATCTGAGTATTACACCCAGGTCAAATTAAAAATAAGTAACAAAAAGCACCTTAAGATGCACAGGAACAAACAAACACCAGATCAAAGTGAACAACACATTTTTATACAGTGCTCTAAATTGCTGACAACAGGTACTGAACTACCTTAATTAAAGAAAGGGAGAATTTAGAGAAAGGGTTCAAGATACACTTAGTCCTCAAGGAATGTCACTAGAAGTCAAAGTATCTGGGTAGCAAAGTTAAGGAAAATACGACAAAATCTAGGTCAGGTCTTGGCCAACAAAACCACCCTAGAGCAACAAGCATCCAGCCCAGCCAGCACACCCAGAGCAAAGTCTGGCAAAAAATGCCTGGACCTTCCAAAGGATGGAAGGGTTTGACAACTGGAACAGCACTGTCCAGGTGAAAAGGCTTTTAAAACCATACATAAAGAAAATGGTAAGGAGCAAAGAAAACCACTGAAACACTGCTTTGAGTAAGGAAGACCTGCATGGCCCCCAACACCCTGCCAGCTGCTGGGAGCAGGATCTGTGGGCTGGAGGCAGCAGGATGAGCACTCTGAGAAGGTGGAGCTGCCTGCAGAGTCATTGCAATTGTGTGGTGTAAGTTTTCAGCCACAGATCTATTTTAGCTGATAGGGCTGAGCTCTCCAGATATGGCTTGACATGTAGAAGCACTCTGCACCTTGTGCTCTGCACAGAAAGTGCACACCTGGGGCCACACAATGGGCAGAAATGGGAGGCAAAGCTAACAGTATTGATTTTTAAATGGTGTTTTATTAGCTTATCTTATCAGCACAGTTAATATTAAAAAATATAAGACAAACATATATAACACTCTGACCTTTGCTATCTGAAATAATATTTACTTTTACTCTTTACACACATGACCCATCAGCTGTGAATGGTTCACACCAACTGTGCAAAAACAAAGTCATTATAAAAGCCCCAAACCTGCTCTGATCTCACTAGAGTTTTTACAGGTCAAAGGTAGGACCTCAATAGTGAATTTGCAAGTGATGGAAAGAGAAATATAATGCAATAAAGGACACATTTAAGAGAAAAAAAAAAAAAAAAAAGAATCTTATAAAGCAGCTGACTCCCTCCTTCAGGACTGGGGAAATGGGTTCCAAGAAAAATGCCATCCCGTTTGTGGCTACAGGCATTGCATTTTCCCTTTCTAGGGAAATTCCTCATTTTAGAGGGTGTCTTCTCTACAAAGGAAGAGCAGAGGTAGGCTTAGAAAGTAAAATATCAGTACAAAAAAATGAAGAGAACTCTCCAAGGATGGCAAGACTCTCATGTTGATAACTGTGCTTAAGCTGTTGATGGGCACTCATGAGAACAAACATGGGAACAACCTTATCTGCTCCAAAATCACCTTCTCCTGCTGTGCTGGCAATTCTTGCTTGTTTATCACAAACCAGGAAGATGCAGGGACAGCAGAGCTAAGGGATGGGTCTCAGAAAGCAAAGGTTAGGACAGGGCAGACACCAAGAGATGAAGGCAGGGGTCTGCTACTGGTGCACTGTCCAGAAAGTTCCCAGCACACAAAGGCACCTGTGATGGCCCTTCCTTAAGGGCAAGGAAGCACCTAAGGAACCACCTGAGGGTCTGGAGCCTGCAACTACTTTTGGAAGCAAATAGAAGAGTTTGTGCCTGTTCCTAATAGAAGATACATGTGCAGTGAAAGAAGGTGCTCAGGGAGGGTGTGAAGTTTCCATCACTGCAGGTAAGGACTGAGACCAACACTCACTAACACAGCTTTGCCTTGGGTAGGGCCAGGCTTGGTTCAGGAGCCTCTCACCCAGGGCAGGGACAGCCAGGAGAAGACAGGAATTTGCTAGGCTGGAGCAAAGGCACTCCAACGAGCTATCCAGATTAGAAGTGACATTCTCATAATGTTTTCTCCTAAGGAAAGATCTCCCCTACTCCAGAGAAGCTGTTTCCATACTCACCAAGGCGTGATCAAACTTAAATGTACTGATGTAGTAGGCTGGGATGTCAGCTGCAGCCAAAGGCTCAGAAATCTGAGCGACAATTCCACATTCATCTGTGGGGAGAGAAAACATCAAACATTGTCTGCAGGGGCTTGCAAAAGTCTCAGAGATCACCAGCTCCATGCCTACATATGGAGAAGTTTGTCTTCACAAACTCCAATCAGAAGGAATCTCTGTAATAAAATGTGTTTTTTTCTCACAGAATTGAGGTTTTGGGCCCCAATAAAACATATGAAGTTTGTCTTCACAAACTCCAATTAAAAAGAATCTCTGCAATAAAATGTATTCTTTCTCACAGAATCAAGCTTTTGGGCCACAACAAAATATATGGAGAAGTTTGTCTTCACAAACTCCTATCAGAAGGAATCTCTGTAATAAAATGTGTTTTTTCTCACAGAATCGAGGTTTTGGGCCACAACAATACATTGCACATTTAGTTTTATAACCTTCTTTTTGCTACAGAGAAAAACATTTTCCAAAGGCACAAAACCAGTAGAACTGGAATGATTTAGAGGTCCAAAGAAAGGCACTGAACAATGTTCAACAAGAAAGCACAAAACCCAGCCCCTTATATCTTTAACATCCATTTCTCTGTTATTGAACACTTGGCCCTGCAACTCTGAAGGAGGAGATGCTGACCCATTAGTCAGCCTGGACACATGGTTCCTGGGCTACAGCCCACCACAGCCCCTGAAACAGGATTTCACACAATGAAAGCTGGAGTTTTACTCAATCAAATTCAACATTTGAACTTGATTTGAAATTAACATATTTAAACATCAAATATTTGATGTCAATGTCCTGATGTGCTATCACTGACATATCATGCTATTTCTACATGTTTGCCTCAATGATATGTGAAGAGAAAATCTCCTTCTTGCCACTTTTGGTAGTCAGGTGTAGAAGTTGCAATTAAATACAAAAATTGGCCCAATGTTTTTTCAGAAATGTTCTTGAAGTTTGTATTTTCTAAGTGGTTCAGGAAGGAGCCAGAGCATGTCCTGAAGATCAGGCCTTTGGTGCATTATTCAGATCAGACCCTTAAAATTGCAGGGGACATAGAAATAACAAGAACACTCCTGCAGACATGAAGCCTTTGCTCTGTGCTACTTAGGACCAATATTCTTTTGAGTAGGGAAAACATGTGCAGGACTGGATGTGAAACACATCTGTGAACAAGGCTTCTGCTTGAACTGCTGTAAATCTATAAAAAGTCCACTAGAATCACAGAATTACCCAAGCACTGCACTGCAGTATGACACTGCTTTCTGAGCACTGATTTCAGTAATCTACAATGAATTCCCACCTTTTAGTCCAGTTTTTTTGTTTAACCAAAGCCCCAGCTGTAGCCACCCCAAAGTCCAGCAGATGAATGCAATGCAGCTGGAACTGTAGCAGGTAGCACTTTTAGGAGTATATTCAGAAGTCAAACTATCAAATAATTTGACATTTGATTTAACATTTAATAGGAGTGAGGCTTCTGTTTGAAAATCTCAGCTCACAAAGTCATGTTAAGCTGCTGGCTCTTAAAAGCATCAGCCTCAGATGGATTTTTCCATACTCCTTGAAGGGCCTGAGGTGACTGCCTGCCTGCAACCAACTGATCCTCCAAATGTCACTTACCAAAGCCAAGAGGCTGCCCACCAATCCTCACCATCTTCCAGAGCTCACCAGATGCACTTGTAAACAACAAATTATTAGGAAATCTGTAAAAAAAAAAAGGAACACCAAAGATAGCAATTAAAGCACAGCAGTGTGCTAGATTCTGCCTGTGGGGGATCTGCTCTTCCTGCATCCTTGAGATGTTTGAAGCCAACAATAACAGGGAGTAGCTTGGGCAAACTGGAAAACTCAAGGCAGGTGGAGCAGATGCACCTGCCTGATCCTCCAGATATCCTGTGGCAAATCAGCAATTCCTGCTGGAGGTGGGCATAGGTACCCAGAGAGGCAAGGAAAACATGTGTAACAGGCTGTGCTCCAGCTTTACAAATGCTGAAACTGTGAAGGTTTGATTTGAGCTGCATCTGGAAACACCTAGGGATGGATTCCATGCCTGCTCTCAGGAATGTGAACAGTGACCATCAGTGCTTTTTCCATTCCATCCTGGGACCACTGCAGAGGTCTCAATTTCTTCGCAGGAGGAAGAAGACCCAAGGCTTAGAGAGCTGCCCAAGGTGAAGCAGGCAGCCTGGGAGAGAGGAGAATTGGCTCCCCAGATCTCCCACAGCCCAGGCTGAAGCTCCAGCCCTCTGGCTCCTCTTAAGACAGACAAAGTTTACTCCAATAGGGTCAAAGAAACTTTTAGGAGGGCGATTTATTACTTTGAAAAACAAGTCCAAGGGGCAGGGGACTTATCCCCAAGAACCAAACCCAAACTGCACTGTATGTCAAAAGCAAATCTAAGCACTGCTGAGTACAGCACCCCTCCAGACCTGAGAGCCTGCTGTGCTGCACAGCTGCAGACACACACACACACACACACACACACACACACACACAGAGGGTGACTGCTCAGCAGCTGGCTCCTTCCTTGCTGGACAAACAAGTCATGGGCTCCCACTGCCAGTGATGACTTGGGACATTATCATCATAACAAGACTCTGAACCAAGCCCATCCATGTGTAAAAGCAGAGCAGGACGACAGCATCACTGACATCCCCACCCTGATTTTGGCCTTTAGCAGGAAAACTTCAAACCTACACCAGGTTTTCCTTTTGGGTTTTGCTCTTACAAGCACAGCTAATGAGTAACAGAATAGAAGTGCAAAAATCACTTTGCTCCAGTATTCCTCTTTTGAAAGTGAGATAACCCTAGATCACATTGATTTGTGATTTCACTGAGGGCTTGGACAGACCAGTCTAAAATTTAGGCACTGGAACTAAAATGCCAGATTTTACTCAGAAAAGTGACAGGGTGTACAGGCCCATGACACCCATACAAGACAGTCCAAATAATTAACATGGAGGAGTCTAAGCTGCTTCCTGCTCCTTAGAGAACATCCCTTTTCTAAAGGTCTTTTTCTAAGATCAAGGCTCACCTCTGCTGTGTCTGGACATCCATGACCAGGGAGATGTAACCCTCAATGAGAGAAAAGGAGAAAAAGCGAATATGTCCCGAGTCTTCGTTGCCCACCACTGAGTCTTTTACTCTGAAGAAACAGAAGAGAACTACATTAACTGTGGCTAGAAGAGCACAAAAATGGGTTTTTAAAGCAGATATAGCCAGTGAAACCAGAAATGTTCTTATATTGACTTAGGGAAGTGACACTGAGTTCTGTTGTATTATACTGATTTTATTTTTTTATTTTGCAGGTGGGAAATGATCCAGTCCCCACAACTGACAAAACTCTCCATCCCTTCCTCGAGGTCCCCTCACAAGGAGCTGTGGGCCAGGAGCCATGGGCACCAAGGGGCAGGAATACAGCCAGCTGTGCATGCTCTGACCCTGTGTGGACATGGACACTGACCACATGGCTACTGTCACCCTCACTCTGGAAAAGCTCAGCTTTCCAAAGCCAGCAGATGTCTTTGGTACCCTCAATCACCTGCTTGGCTTCCACCTCTCAGGACAACACTCTTGGGCCTGTGAAACCTCCCTCCTTTCCTCAGTGCAGAGCACTGGAGCAGCACAAGGCCACAGCAGATCCCTGTGGATCCTCTGGCACCCCAAAGGAGCAATCTGTGCCTCCAGACACTGCACACCTCTCCTGGAAGCCCCATCTCCCTGCAGGACCTACCCATTGGAGTAAAACATGACATCCATCAGGAGTGTAGCAACAGTGGGAAGGGTATCTGGATCCAGGCTGGTGACACAGAACATATTGCTTGGGCTGGAGAGAGGATGAATGACAGGCCTCTGAACTGAAAGGGAGAACACAGACACACAGAGCTATGAAGCCACATCTGCAGCAGGCTCCTGTCCCATCAGCTGTGCTATCCATGCCCTGGCAAGGGTCACAGAGAAAGCTGACAGTATTTGTAAGGCAGTGCCTCAGTGCTGAAGCCCTGCTGGCTCTCAGACAGGGAATGAGGGGCCTGTGGATGATCTGCTCCTCTGCTGGTCTCCCTAAGGCATAGGGTGAGGCCACCCTGCATACCCTGCCCAGCTCTCTGCTCTGAGGGGCTTTCAGGCCATTGGGTGCATCCACACGACGTGAGGAGCAAGCTAAAGGAGGGACCAAGAGAAACTGGAAAATGGAAAAAAATGCAGGTTTCCACCATTTAAAGGCAGGGCTATGGAAGGCTGTGGTTGCTGGCAGTCCATCCTGCTTTCCCTCATTTCTGGGGACCTATTTAGCCATAATATCTTGAAAAATTAAAACCCAGCTGCCACATAGCAGTTTGTCTGACAGATTGCAGCCAGTGGCTGAGAAGCAGCCAGCATTTAGGCATGCAACCAACAGACCAACACAGCAAACTGTGGGCTGGTGCATTATCAACATGTGTTCACTCTGCCCTTTCCTGATGCTTTTTTTCTTTAAGACTCATTTTCTTACACAAGGTGATTGTTAGCTCTTGAGTGATGAAACTGAGTGGCACTTCATAATAACTGATCCCTGCTTTGTCTAGTTATGGGCAGACATTACACACATGTCTGTACGCAAGCATATGTTTTAAAGTTGTTCCTTTTCCTGATTGTGCCCTTTGGCTTGATATTTGCTCCTTTAGCCTGCAAACATCCTAAGGGTCTGTACAGCCCTGGGCTCATTGTGGCTTTGATCCTCACAAAACAATCTTCTCTGTGCATCACTGCAATACTTAAACAAGCTTTTAAAGAAGCCATTTTCCTTTGGAATGTTGAGGCATGGAAATATGGGCCACAGAAAACATTATTTTTGCAACTGCAACAAACTTTACTTTAGCTTTCTGTCCTACCAAAGGCATGTCTTCTCTAGAAAAACTAGCATTGAAAGGCCAAATTCAGCCAAACTTACTAGCACTGCTCAGAAAGTTAAGAACCTACTCAAATCCTTGGTTGTACTCAGAGAGGCTTGTAAGATTGCAATCTTAAGAAAATATTCATTGAAATGCTGAAGGAAGCCAGGAGACAGAACTTCCACCCCATGTGTCAGGGAGACCAAATCCCTGGCCAGCTGGTGCTTACCTAGTTTTGGTTTGACAAATCCATTTGTTACCCCAAAGTCATCAGCAGCCACTGTCTCCCCATTCACTACTCTGAGGATGGTGAACTCGGCAGCCAGCGTGTGCATCACGAAGGGCAGGTCTCGCTCACGCACCTGAGGGGACAACAGCATCATCTGGGCATGGTGTTATGGAATCCTCTGGATATCTGGTATATGGTGTTATCTGG